TTATTCAGAATAATATCCAACCCTGATTTCCAATTAATTGAACATTCATTAATTCGATGTCATTCTTCTTTTGAGCAGCTATTTAGACCACAGTAATCTTAAAAAATCTGAATGATTTGGAATTTTTGTACAAACATTTGAAATATCAGAAGAACATTCAAACTATCCAATTGCAAATGAAAAAAAGAATTGGCAACTAATGAAAAAATTGAGGGATTATTATGTATAATTAGAATGAAATAGTTATTTATTATACAAGGGAAAAAAGTAGTAGATTTTAGCTCCAGGTTGTGTTGTCTCCCGACGCGTAGCGGAGGGAGACAAAAAACCGTGAGCTAAAATCTAATATTTTTCCCGTGTATAATACACTATTTTTTTCTGTGACAGAAGAAAGGACGAATCAATATTGAGAAAATGTTACATTATTTTGAAATCTGAAAATTATCGACGTGAAATTTTAAGTTTTTAACAGTAGGGACACCTGCGTTCTATAGGCATCTTTATCATTCTATTGAAGTAATCAAATATTTGATGTCACTTCTGTCAGTCTAATTCTGTGATTTGATTTAAAAAAATTGCGAATTTAGTGGTTGTTTAGTAATATACGTAACCGCGAAGTCGAATCGAAGATAAGGACTTGCAGTTCTTTCTCGGAGACGGTATTATTGACTCATTTTTCGGAACTATAGCACAACAAAATCCATCAACAGTGTATATATATGTGATATATATCCGGGAAAAAAGTACTCACTTTTTGCCCACGGGAAAAAAGTAATTTATGAAGTTACATTTTATAACCTGCCAACAGAGATGAAAAGCCAAACTTTTTTCCCGTCACAGAAAAAATATGTTTTTTTAATCAATAACAAACTTTACACCTCCATTAGTTTGCATCATAGTCACTTGATTATGACAAAGTTCAAAGAAATATATCATGTCATTAAAGTATGTAAAAATGTTCGCCATGGATGAGTTTATTTATTCAGAAAATATAAACAACAGTGTTAATCTGGGTGTTAAAAGAACTCCACAAATGGAAAGTTAACAAGTGGAATGTTTTATACAATACAGATTTGACTTCCATGCATGTATCAAAATCAATCGTTGATCTCATAATATTTTTGTTCTGCCTTTTCAGAAAGATTCGAAAAAACAAATACACAATAACATTTCAATTTGTCAAAAAATATAAAAATATAACTTATAACCTTCAAAAGTTCAAAAAAATTCCAATACAAAAAAATGATTTCATGAAGAATGGTAATGGTTAATGGTATTCAATGTGCCTATATTATGGTGTATAATTACTAGAATGAATTATGGAGTATTTTCCAAATAATATGGTAGACGATTATCAATTTCTTGAGGGTTCATTGCCAAACACTACAGCCAATGAGCTCATCGAGTTCCTAGACAACTCTACACCCACCTCAGATAAAAAGATATTGCTACTCTGATTAGGCTAAACAGCTTCTTCATCGAATTTTCATCTGGAAAATCCCCATGTATGTATTTTTTCTGTGTAATGTTTCATGTAGCGATTCATGAGTGCATATTTATCGACACATAACCTCAAAATCATTTGAACAGAAAAGAAAACTCTGAGGATGAATGGGTGCAAACATATAGAACAGAATTCACCGGGTGTGAGTGTATTGATTGATTGCACCATTGCACCAAATGCATATCTATTTCTGCTTCATACACACATGGTGTTCACAATTTCATGTTTAATACAAGAAAAACAAATTATTTCATTATCAATATTTTTTTCCTTAGTGAATAATTATCTTAAATAGTTTACACTATTGTTTAGAGGGATTTTCCTGGTTCAACAATTCAGGAGGATAGTATTTTCCTTGTAATGGTACCATTTCAATGTATGGAATGCAAATAATATGTTTCCGGTCGGTATTCGAACAAAATTCTAAAATATCGAATTCAATCGGGAAGGAAACATCTTGTTTCAAGCCCAAGTGCCATTCCAGTATGCTTCCGATAGACAAATGACTTTGTGAAAAATATCAAGCCAAATACGATTCTGGATAAGTTACTGCTCCAATGTACAATGTGTATTAAAATATTATGAGATCTATTTTGTACTTGCGAATAAAGCTCAAAGGACAATTCTAACTACGCTACTCTTGGAAAGGGGATGGTTTCAGAAATGGTACTACAATGGTACACAATTTCAAGTGGGGAATCTAACTACATAGGTAAATAAAAATGTAAGAACGCACGCGCCAGCATGGAAATCAACTTTTCATAAGTAGTATGTTAATTATGTGTGTTTTATTATGGTATGTTGTATGAATATATTAGAAAAGAAATAACACTTAGCACCTTTTGGTGTACGTCAATTCAGTAGTGAATTAACCATTATGATATAATATTATTCACTGGTGAAAGCAACATAAAATCTGTGAAAATCTAACATGCAAAATAGTGCAAAATTAATAAATGAGTCCCTTTTAACTTAAATAATGTTCACTTCATGTATTTTTAGGATGAATGATGCTCTCGAAATATTGATAATACAATAAACCTTTTCACAAATTTGACGATTGAGGATTGAGATGGTGCTCTTTGTTCAACAGTTTTTTTCCTGAAGACTGAGCTATCATTTTTGTCTGAATATTAGGTAGCATGAAAATATTCAATTTTCTAAGACTCAGGATATTTCATTATCTAGATATTTGGAACTTCTTATTTCATGGTTATAAATGTTCAATAATTAAAATATACTAAGGAGAAAATATGTGAGATCGGATCACTGAAGGTGGACTTTTATGAGGTTCATAATATATTATCTTTTTAATTATATTGAAAAGAAGAGAGGACGTTTTCAAAGAGTAGTTTCCCAATCCATCAAGTTCTGGAAAGATAATAAATCTGAATGTAATTGAAACTCTCACATGAAGTGGTTCAAATTTATTGGTCAATTTCAAATAAATATTCAAATTTCAACACGATTATAAACTGAAAAAATAATAGCTCGAAATATATTATTTGTAGAATATATGCAGTTGTATTCAGTTTTCACCTAGGTAGGTACCTATACCTAGGTGAAAACTGAATTAGTTGAAATATCTCAAATATATTTGATTTTGTTACCACTAAATTGAGAGAAATACTGATTCCTGACTTAAAGAAATCGTTGCTTCTTAGACCAATCAAAATAATCTTAGGTTTCATCTACTTATACTTACTTACTTCATTACTTTCATCTATCGCCTACTGTACTGAATTTTATATTGAAATCTTCATTCTTTAATAAAATTCTGTTTGTGGTCAATTGTCTTGTTGAATTTGTTGTTGTTGAATTTTATACCGACAGACTCAGATTTGTATTCAAACAGTGTATGAAGAATTTGAAAGCAAAACAAATCGTGCATTATATGGCTAAGGATGAATGCAGATATGGTTTGTTTGCTTATTTGTTTTATCAAATTCTTGAATTGGTTGCAGTTACAACCATCTTCAAGACAATAATATCACAGCTGACTTTCAGGACAAAATCACATATTGCTATCAATTAATTTGAAAAAAGTGGAAAACAAGAAATATATCATGCTTGAAATGGGGTTGACTTGATGCACAAATCATAAACTGTCGTCTATGGAAGAAGCCCATAGCAAGTGATACAGAATGTAGTCAACTCCACAACATGCATTTAATATCAACGACCAGCAATCAGGGGAACATGTTTTGGGGCTCGTTTAAGTTCATATAAATTTTACTCTGAAAATGTGTTATGTACATATACTTAGCAGTGGCGGCTCCTCAGAGGAGGCAACGGAGGCTGAGCCTCCTCAGAGATTCTCCTCAAACTGATATTATCTATACTATCTCATTACAAGGACACCAAAATACATGGATTTTGATTTTATTACCTGTCTTTAGGTAAATATTTTCGAATTGGCAACAGTGCTTGCCACGCATCACACGTTGAAATTTGCAAATCACGCGTAAAATATTCAACTTGGCAACATCTATAGGAGGCTAGACTCCTTCACATCGCGCAACTCACGCGCGCTATGCAAATGCCCGAATACGCCCGAATAACACGTGTTTGTTGTGGTCGTGTCTCGTCGCGAATTGCGGACAATCGCGAGTGCATTGTTTATGTTTATGTTAGGATAATGGTTAGCAGCTCTATAAATTTCTGAAAAAAGAGTGTTTCAAACGATTGCGATTTAGTGGACCCATTCAGTGCTTTGTCCTATGAAGATAAATTGACAAACGTCCGACACCGGAATTAAAAAATCTGGTTGTAACAGGTAACAAACAAAATCGTTCGTTCAATTCTGATGATTAAAAAAAAATATATCTGGTTGACGGGATCTGAGGTAAGGAATAAGCTATTTTGTTCGTACTGCGTATTATTTTCAACCGATAAGTCGTCATGTTGGGGGCGATTAGGATATAATGATTTGAAAAATTTGCCTCGCGGATTGGATAGACACTGCAAATCACAGGAACACATCTCTTCAAGTATTAAGTTCAGGTTAACTGGTAAACAGAATGTCATTAAAGCTATTGATTTGGGTGAGTTGTAGAGAGTTGTTTTTCACAATAAATCTCATATCATTCAGCCTCCTCTGTCATGGAAGTCACGAGCCGCCACTGATACTTAGTATATTCCTTAAACTGTGATATGACTTCCAATTTCACTTTCCTTGGAAACTTTCCGGTCGCTGGAATAATCCCACGGTCAATTCTAGTCTCCACTCATAATAATTGTGTATTGTGTAATGGTCACCTAATATCATTTTACATTTCGATCATAGTCCTGAAGAAGGTTGCAACCGTAAATAAACTCCGACCGCATCTTGCGAAATAAAAAGCGACAACACGAAACACCAAAAGAGATATCACGATATCGAGAAAGGTATTCGAGTATGCATGAAAGAAACGTACACCAAGAGGTAAGTGAAATGTGCTGGTGGTCACCTATGCAATGGCGCTGCGCTGCTCTGCGGCTCCGGGGGCCGTCTTACCTGGCGAAACTCTTGAACGCCGCAGATTGGGGGTTGATGCACAGAGGCACCCGGCTCGTGTTCAGCTGTTCCGCTATGAATTTGTGCATCTCCTCTGGAAAAAACAGAAAAAACAGGAATAAGAGAGCCATCAACTTGACTGATGAACAAATATGAAGTGGTCCACCTTTTTTCTATATCAAATATTTTGATAAATACTATACCTTTTCAACTTCAATTTCGGAATCGGTAAGTTTTATTTCGGAAAAGGTAAGCTCGATTTCGGAATTGGTTAGTTCGATTTCAGAAATGGTAAACTCAATTTCAGAATCGGTGAGTTGAAATTCAGAAAAGGTCCATTCAATTTCAGAAATGGTAAGTTGTATTTCAGAAAATAAATTCAAACACTTATGAGGTATATGTTCTCATTGAATGACCTGAACATTCTTTAAGACATCACAGTCTGAATTCTATTTGGTTAAGCAATCTGTTTGGATTCCCGGCAATGACCCTTTGGTGATGCTCTTGCAAGCTCTTCATTTCTGACTTGAAGGTATTACATAATATGTTCAATTATTGTGTTCAACCAATGTAATGTGCCAATCTGCAAATAAGAACATCTTGAAATCCTTCCATCATGCAAATCCCCTCTATATATTCTCGAATGTGCAGGTGCATTATCCAGAACTAACACTAAGTTATCTGTAGGTTGCCCATTTTAAACGCACGCTCATCATCCTATGAACTAAGATTCAATTGACGATAATGAATGTATGTAAACAGGATTATTCATTTCAAGTTGAACTTCTTTTTCTGAAATTGAACTTACCGATTTTGGAATTGAGTTAACAATTTCTGAAATCGAGTTTACCTTTTCCGAAATATAACTTACCGAAATTGAAGTTGAAAAGGTATAGTATGATTCTGGAACAGTTTGCTCAATGTTTGGAGAAAAATCATTGGAAAACAGATTTTGTACTTTCTTTCTGCCCTACTGCAAGACAAAAATTTGAAATTATTTTCTGTGATTGCGTGATGTGTTTGGATATAGTTATTTGTTTAACTAGGTAGCGAAGTAGTAGATTGACTACCGCGGCTGATAGTACATATTCAATTCAATACGACCAAGGCAGTCAATCTACTTTGCTGGCCGTTTGACCATGGAACGAACTAGAAAATAGCACGTCGCCCCATCTGACGGCAACAACTAGAGCACTTCTGAGCGGTTTGTTTTGATGGTATGACCAATGAGCACAAACAAAAAGCAAATGCGAACCAATGAAAACAAAGTAAACAGGGCGCTTTGACAGCTTCAAAGAACTCCGATAGGTGGCGTACGCTTATTTTCTATCGCGAATACTCCGAAGCTGACAATGTTGCCGAAAGCAATCCATTATTAATACTCCTACATGTAACGATTAAAAAAACAACCTGTATCACATTGAATTTGTTGACAAGCAGTATGTCGAGAGATGGAACCGATGATAAAAAGAGATGAGCATATCAATGTTATGGAAGTATATGAAAGTAATTGTTTTGAAATGATTCAATTGCTTGCGAGATTGCTTGTGTGTATTATCTAGATTCTTTGGTAGCGATTTAAGCAAAGAAATCTTAATTTTTGACTGTTTATTTGTTTACTCCTTTGATTCAAGGAAGCTTTTTAGCAGATATTTGTTCAATTTAGTATGTTTCAGTACTCCAAATATATGAGATTTTGAAAATGAAAAATATATTTCACTGAAGAATCCAAATTCGAGACATATCACCATGACCACTAATCTTTCGATAAAATACATGGAAACCTCAATGTAAACAAACATTCAATGTACTTTCTTTTCGTTATTTGAATATCCGCAAGAGGGTGTGTCGCTTATTTTGAATCGCCTATCTGATAGTATTAGTACCAGTCATTACCTTTCACTTGTTGCACAGTGGTGAGCTTCTTCTCCCAATGGTCGTCGAAAGGCTGTGGCGCTGTAGTCTCAAATTCCGAGGTGTACTGCCGCATGCCACTCGCCGTCGTGTAGCAGCACTTGCACATGCACGAGTGGTACCTTAACCTACCTTCATCTAGATAAGGGTGTGCTAGGGCGTCCACGACCGAGATTCGTTTGTCCTGGAAAATTGGTGATTTTTAATCTATTTGCATCGAAATATTCATTTAGTTCATTAGGATTTTGAATGGAAGTTAGCCAACACTGTATGTGTGAAAATCATTTTTTTTTACACTTTTGCAGGTCAGGTTATTTCAAAATGATATGGTACATTTAACAGCACAAGAACGTTGTGAGATTATAAGATTCATAAAAATCGAGAAAAAACCAAATCTTACTTGCAAACACACAGATGAAGATGGCCCTAAGAATAGTCAGTGCGTATAGGACTGTGTCTACAGAGGCTGCAACACTGATTGCCGATCTAGTCCCAATACACCTCCTGGCCGAAGAGAGACTTTATGTCCACATGTCAAACAATAGGAGTGAGGCAAAGAAAGAAACAAGACAAATTTCCATAAACAAATGGCAACAACTATGAACAACATCAACAAATGCAGCCTGGACAAGACTTATTCCGAGAATACAGGTTTGGTTGGGCAGCCCACACAAAGAGATAGACTACGACCTCACATAAGTGCTAACTGGGCACGGATTCCATACCTATCTTGAAAGAATTAGAGCGAGCGGGACCAACACCTGTATTTATTGCGAGCAGATAGACACCACAGAACATACGGTATTCGAATGCGGACGATGGAATCGAAAGAGACTGGAAACATACCTACGATTGGGAAGGAACATCAACACAGACAATATATCTACCATGGTGGATGTATGGAAATAAAAACGAATATAAGTCAAGCCTACAACTACTGGTGGTGTGTGAGGGCAATTCAAGAGGGCCACTTGTCCGCTGCTTGCAGTGGTTCCCCTCTTAAAATAAAACTTGGCGGTTCCTGCCAAGTAACCACGCCGTCTTGCTAGGACGTCACTAGGTTTTTTATTACCTGGAGCCGCCTAAGTGGCTCCAATATCGTTCTGGTGCATTGTCCGCCCATTGCTGAGGGCGGACGGAGTTGGCTTCTTGCGATGCCCAGCTGAGTCATACCTACGGGAGAGATAAGGGGGATATACCCCCTCCCCATATGCATGATAGAGAGACACAACTTTTCTTCACGTATTACGTTTTCATATCTACAATGGTTCTATGTCGTTGGTCATTGTGAGGCGAAGCTTAAGAGCGCATGATCAAATCAACGATGAAGTGGCTCCAACATCAGCAGTCGGAATGAATGGAAGTGATTACAGCTGAATGAAAATTCCGCATCAATTTCTTCCAACAAACATTTTTTATATCAGGAACAAATCCAATAAGAAGATATTGGATTTTTTCCCCATGGTATAGTATCAGTTACATAATAATATTGTATATTCAGTGCATGATATTAATACCTGATATTCCCAAAATTATTATCACAGCCGATATCAAAAAAATTACATGACAAGAGATTTAAATGGATTTTTCGTCATCAACCAGAAACAAGACGCTTTGGGTTGAAATCTTCATTCTTACAGAATATTTCACGATGAAATGCATTGTTATAAGGGATTATTCTTCAATCAGTTTACTTACAGGATCGAATACCAACATTTGACATAACAAATGCACTACTTCATGGGTTGCTTGCGACGACAGAGTGTAGAGGGCAGACAACGATGGTGGTTTTGGCGCTCTCCTCAGTATGTGTGACCTTGCACCCTCACATGCGTATTTCATGTCTTCTAAGGAAGGGGTGCCCAGCAGTTCCATTATGAGTTCCAGTTGCTGAACGGGGTTTTGCGCCTGAAAAACAAGGTAAAAATGAAGATATTCAAAGATATTCAATGTAGATTTCCACTACTGATGATCTAGTTTCAAAATTCACTTGAAATGTCTGGTTCACTTGAAATGGCATCTATTTATTTGATTCACCTAATGGAATGAATGAACTGATCTTCATCAATTTGCTGGTAAGGATTATTTCTATGAACTGAGTATTTTTGAAATTTCCTGCTAGCATATGGGATGAGTGGGATGATCGCACTAAATTCATTGAATAATATGGAAAAACTCGAATGTTGTTATCCAATTTTCATTAGTTTCCATATTTAAAGCCATAATAAAATACCCTCCTTTGTAGCCATGAAACAAATATTCACTCATTTTGATAAGCGTCAGTGGGTCTGTCAATATCAGTAATTGGAAAACGGTGATAGCGAACGAATTATATTTGTGTTGTAGATACTAAGGACGGTATTTCATTATGTGAGGATATTGAACTGCCAAACAAACGATATCGAATAACGTTTTTTTTTTTCAATTATCTTATATGTGAAGTGTATTCCTTGAATTTGGCGCAATTAATTCGGTATATACATTTCTGAAGATTTTCCCAATGCCCAGAAAGTCATGTCGTTGTATCTTATTGACTCAACAAGTATCAATAGAGCCAGACGACTACTATCACTTTCATGGACTCAAACACCAACGAATAATCTATTAGTGTTGCATTTTCCACATCAACTATTGACAAATACTAATTCCCATAAATTATAAATTATTTGAGGGTGTATCTTGAAATTATGGAAATGGTTACAGATAAAATTATGTTCAAAATGATCCTCAAGAACAGAAAAAGACACTTTCTCCAACACACCACGCACCCTTTTGGCCTATTTTATAATGATGAAAATAGGTACAGGTGTGATTCAAATTATTTTCCAAATTAAAAGGGTGATGCGGTTCAATCGCACACACTGTAAATTGAAAAATACAAATACCTTCTTGAGTTTCTTCTTTCATTGTAATATCAGTATAGTTGAATCAGTGCAGGTTAAGGTTAGGTTAGGATCCATGAGAGTGGTTACAGAACCGAGTACAACTTGCACTCAATTAATGTTGGTATGTTGTTCCAAATATGTTGTTTATTAACCAACATTTGGTATCGAAAATCCCAGCGATTTTCTTTTTCTCATAAATCTACTTCAATATCAAAATTGAAATCAACAAAAAACTCTGCAAAACGTGAACAGATCGGATTCTATGAATGGAATCGAAGATATATATATGGCATGCATCTCTCATTGCGCGCTTGATGCGCTTTGGTCGTTGACGTCACATCATTTATACAGGGTGTTTCAAAATTTAGTATCGAGATATCAGAGATTAATTTTTCAGGTCAGTTTTTATTCTTTAGGTAATATGTAACATTTTCTGTTTTCATTGTAAAAATAGGTTCCTCTCTTTTGTTAAAAATTTCGATTGAAACTAGCGAATGACAAGAAATGATTTTCTATTCTCGATTACGGTTGATTAGGCCTGTTGAGTTCGTCTGACTGGTATTGGTAGTGATGAAATGCTAGCAGAAAATCAGAAATATCTGTGAATCTATTCGCGGTATCCAAGGTTATCAGATGACGTTCTGATGACATTAGAAACTACGGGAAAACAATTATTTGCGGTAGCCAAGGTCATCGTTGCGATGATATAAAAACGACGGGAATGCATGTCTAACTTTCAATCTAAGCCAAGAGTTAGGAATGTTTCCCGTAGTTTTCATGTCATCGCAAAGTCCGATGATGACCTTGGCTACCGCGAATAACATTCAATCTATACCAAGGATTAGGATGTTTTCCCGTAGTTTTTGATGTCATTGCAACGTCATCTCATGACCTTGGCGACCGTGAATAGAAAAGTGAAAGGTCACCGACTTTTCAACGGTGTTGCAAATTTATTCCTTCTATGGTCGGTTATAAATATTGGTGCTTCTTTTTATATGTGATTTCTACGTGGAAATAGTAATTTTTTCTTTTTTCCCTACCTGGAAGAGAATTCTTCGCCCCAACAGTTCTCCGAAAATACAACCTACTGACCAGACATCGACAGCAGCTGTGTAATGTTTCGCCCCCATGAGAATTTCTGGAGCTCGGTAGTATTGCGTCACAACTTCTTGCGTCATATGTTTGGAAGTGTCGGGTTCTTCTACTCTCGCTAAGCCGAAATCACAGATCTAAAAAATGACACATTGGTGAAGAAAAATACACAAGAGATATAATCAGTGTCAGTTTCAAAATCATTATCATGTATTCAGACTTTTCATAGGCACTGTGGGTGTTGTTAATTTATTCTCGAGATCATGAATGTTATATCGGATGGTATTCATCCTCTCCAAAATGATTTCAATTCCGCTAACACTAATTGTAATATTTGTATTGTATTATTCAGTAGGTAGTAGTGTATGATTTGCGATATTTTGAGCTTTCCATTAAATTCTTGAAATCTAACTCCAACCCCACGAGTTTGGATTTCTGGGAAGTTGGTGTCAAACTTCGAAGTAGCGATATATAATTTTCATCTTACTGACAATATAGTGCAGTAGGCACTGGATGGTAATGATAATATAGTATATCGTACAACTAGTGCGGAAAATGAGTTATTTCGAGTTCGTGACAAGATGAACCACTCGCCCACGGCTCATGGTTCATCATATTATCACACGAGTATGAAATAACCAGTTTCCGCACAAGTTTAACGCTATACTTTTCCGACGACCTACCTGAAATATAAAAATGTATGAACGTGGGACAATGATTATACAACACAGTACAAGTTTCTATTTTTAGAACTTCCCTAGTTTTGAATTGGTATACACTATTATACTCGCATACTCGCTACTATAGAAGCTGATAGTGAGATGAATTAAGACAAAGACATTGGACTTTCTGAGAACTATTAGAATTATAATTATTATTCATACTTGAACAATTGTTCAATACTAAAGGAATAAGGCTATTTTCTTTTATTACACTTTTCATTGCTTGATTATTGATTTCTGTAAAGTTTTTCTATGATTTATTTCAGAATCAAGAGAACTTTGCACAACTAGATATTCACCTAATAAATAATATGTGTAGAAACTGACACTGTCATCAACTGATTTGTACTTTTGTCATTGTCATAGCTGCCTATATAAATTCAGTAGAAATTAGAGTAGGTGTATTAGCCATTCAATATAGGATTCGTACTTTCGCGAACATTTTCATTTCGCACTGGTACAAAATGAGATTTTTCGCACTAGTGCGAAATACGTATCATGTTGTGCTGTTTAATAGTGCAAAATAATACGTATTTTAAGTAGGTCGTCGGTAAATATCATTTATTCATTACCATTGGTAAGTAATTTGTAAGTTCTAATTATGGTTATGAAGAAAAAAATTTCAAGTGAATAGTGAGTCGGTCGTCTTATAGATTCGAATCTGTGATATAAGCAAAAACGATGATAAGAATTGGATAATCTATAAATAATTGGAAAATCAATTTCAAGGGGTTACTGCTCAGGTTACTGGCAACAAAACAAAAATCTTAATTTTCTTAAATTTTCAAAATTAACAACATTTCAATTACCATGGTATCATGGTGAAAATTACTCCTTTCTCTGGAAACAGGATGTTTAAGATATTCCTTTCAGAATCTGTGTAAACTGTTATGATTCATTTTTGAAAAGACTCGACCAAAGTCGAAGTCAGAGTGAGGAAAAATGAAAAAATCTCCCTGTACATAACCTGTACGATTGGCTACCCAATAATAACAATGAACACAATCATTCAGTATGACAAGGTCGTAAACTTGTTCAATTTGAAAAACGCTATAAAACTCGGCCAGTCTGCGGTCTGTTGCAAAATTGGATGTCAAACTGTGATCGACTGATATTACATACACTACTAACAGTATTAACAGAGTTCAACAGACCGCAAACAAATTTTGGCGTTTCATTGCTGCATGTAACGTCGTTTTCCTTACCTTTAGAACACAATTACTGTTTACGAGTAGATTTCCAGGTTTAATATCCCTATGTAATATCCTAGCTGAATGTAAATATTTTAACCCTGCAAAAGAAAAAGGACAAATATTAGATAATTCTGAAAATGCTCGAATAGGTCTGAGGACTTCAAACCTGAATATATTTTCGCTTGTTTCCTTATCATAGTGTGTTATTTCACAAAATTCCAAATCATACTGAACAGTTTTTGAACCTGAATAATGATCTCACATTCATTCATTAAATTCGATCTAAACATCGAATCAATCCCGAACAATTCATTTAAGAATTCCATTCTTGGTAGTGAAATGATTACCACCACCTTTTTTACTAAACATTTCCCGGGCAACTATTCTTCTAACGAGTAGACAAGAATTAGCCAGCCAATGGAAGTCTTCAAACGATTTGAAATGATCGATAGCTTGCTTCCTTAACTGATTGTTTCACTTATCATTAAATGTAAAAAATGTATTGACGCTAACATTTTCAACAGCTGCTGTAATGATCCAATTTTGATATTAGCTAAATTCTTATAGTTGATGTTTGATAATTTTCTTTCTAATTGTTCAAGTGATGTGATTATAATATGTTGTTCCTCCTGTTGGATGATGATTAATAGAAATGCGGCAGTGATCATTTCATCAATAAAAATGATTATGATTCAATCAATTCGAAATTCATAAGAGGAGTAATAATTTCTGTTTGCAATAACATGCGAAAATAAAAGGACAACATTGGAACAAATAAACATCAGAACGTAAGGCGAACAAATAAAGATGATTCAATATCAGTTTTGATTCGATAGGGTAGTCTCAATAAATGATTCCGAAGAGTTCAATCTGAAATTACTCTAAAAACTAACAATAGAGCTTCGTCAATTCTATCAATATGGAATTATTCATACTGCCGATAATAACATGATAGAACCAAATTTCGAATCAATAACTTATGGTTCAACAGATATACAAATTAGCAAAAAATTCAAACGAAATTCAAAACCCCATAGGTATATCGAACACCAGTTTCTCTACAAAAAAACACATTAGTTCATCACATATTTTAAGTGACTTTGTAAAACCAAGAACGTGACGATATAAATAGCTCACGAAATACTCTTATTTTATTTATTCAATAAGCTAAGTGGATAACAAAAGGTTTAAGCTGAAACAAGGGTAGGAAAGCAATGCGACAGTTTATGTATAACTTTGCTGACTATAATAATACCAATGGCTTCAAAATTCCGTTTCAAATAGAAAAAAATAATCAATATGGAACGTCGTTGAACATGAATGTAAAAAAATATCAACCAAATATAAGCAATCGAGTCGAGACATACACATACAATGCCTACAATGGTTCATTCATAAATTGTATGCATGTAATTTTTGACAGTTTTGGTTCATTCATCACGCAATCATTCGTAATATTGGTAAAAAGTTGTCATGGATTTTTTTATTATCTCAGTAAAGTATGGTGATTAAAATATACCGGTTGTGAAATTTATTAGTGAAATTCTAGACTGATGAACTGATGGGTTTATTTAAACTTTTGGGAGTTACTATGTAGATTGGTAGTTGTATTGGTATAAACTTGATATTGAGCGGTGAAATGCTGATGGCTCAGTGAACAAGAACAAGAGCCGTATTGTACAACTTAATATAAAAATAATACTGTTCGAAGTTATCATCATCAAGATTTCAGAAACTCCATCCGCTGTATGATGAAAGAGACTAATTTTGTTTTTGAATACAACCTTGAAATGAAATAATAATTTTCGAAAAGCTAATTCAGATTTCAATACACTTCCTACCGTCAAATGCCTTCGTTGGACAACATCTGTTAAACTATCCAGTGAAATAATCTTGATAATTGACATTCTTCAACAGATTTGAATCATCGAAAATATCAAAACACCTCATATATTGGATGATTTCAAATGTATCTATGGAAATTATTCCGAAACATATCATAATATATTATTGTCTACCATAACAAAAAAAAAGATTTCCTACGGTATTAGATAATGTCAAGTGATGACTTTCAACCAAAATGGTATGTTTATCAGTACTCACCTCTAAGTATCTGGTACAAGAACACTTTTATATGGTCCGGTGACAGAGGTTGATGTGAAATTATAATTTTGTGTAGATCGCTCTGCAGAAGTTCTGTAATTACATATCTGAAGTAAAAAAGGTTAAGAAAAACACCATGATACAGTTGATACATTGACGATTAATGAAACAATTTATTGTTATTGTAATTATTTAAACTGCCTGTTTCTCCGAAAAAAATAAACTTACAATTTCATCCTACAATCACGATATATTTTTAATAGATGATAGTTGAATATATCCTGGAACAAAACAACATTCATTCAAGCTCGGGCAGAACCAATGACGAATAAAGAAGTAAACTTGCGCTAGGTATTCAAATCCCATAAATGTCGTACTCGAACAATCGAACATGACAATCGAGCATCATACTCTGACGATAAAACAGTGGAAGTTCACTACCGAGGCCAACTCGAATTTTTATGATTTCCGTGAAATGAGATCGGATTCAAACGAGATGGAATGCCGTGGTGCATAGAGAGAACATTCGATATGTTATCGTGGGAAATACAAATCAATTATACAAGGTAGTCTACTCAAGGTGAGGTTCTATAGATAAAGTTGTACTGGTCTGGGTGTTAAGCACCTGATGGCTGATGGTAATCCTGATTTTTTTAAATTGAATATTGGTTCGATCTGCTATACGCATCGAGATTACCATTCCGTATTTTTTTTATACAGGGTAGTCCGTCGAAAATGTACGCGAGGCATTACAGACTGATAGGAAAAAACTTTTCAACAAAATCCAAAACAAGTCAAGATTGTTTGTCATGAGGACAACTTTTGGAAAGCACATCATCTCTCATATTTTTTCAAATGGGAATGGGGGTCAAGTAATACCCTCAAAACAGGCCCAATACATTGCTGCTTAGTTTTGGAAAATCGATTTATAGTTGTTTAGAATGTAGAGATGTGAATCTCCTCAGTTTCAGTTTCAGTTTGGATAAATATGTATACTATATCTGTATAGTTTTATCGTTATTCATTTATGTATCTTGAAATGAAAATTTATAATTATTCCATAGGCATAGGCGAAATGCATCTTTTGTCAAATCAGTTTATAACAATCACACGCAGAAGACACTGCAGTTAGTTAGTTCTAGTTCGCCGGTCCTACACGATCATTCGTAAGACACGGGTCAGCCCTTTACACTGAACACAATTCGGTTGGTTTCATCTATCGACATTCAGTTCAGTTATTCTTGCGACATCAAATATTTTATTCGCGGCTATCAATCAGTTGAGTTCATTTTCCAACATTCGCACTTGCACTCAACACAAGACACTCTCGGTCGTGATATACGGGCAATCAAATCCGAAGTTATTTGAACCCGTCGTTCATTCCTAGTGTTGATTATTTATCAACTGAAGGACACCCTCTGTCGTTCTTTTCTCAATCGACAATCACACATCTCAACTCTCATCCAGTCGTATTCTGAAACTCGATAGAGAATCAAAAATAACCACTGTGTTTGGCTCTGTCACAAGATTCCACAATTTCTCCTCACAAAATACAATTCAAAATAGGTGTATATAGGCCCATATACCGACCCATACATATACCATATACACCTTAAAGAAAATCAGGAGCTTATAAAAACAACAATACGTTTGATGAACATTTCTAAAATTACTTAGTATTTTTTTCTGGATGTTCAACAATGTTGAGAAACTCTAACCACGAGTCACAAAACTAGCTATTTAGCAAACTAAACAAAGCAGCAAAAAAAACTTTAATCGTTCTAAACTCCATATTTTCTAAACGAGTGGATCAATTTTCAAAAACATAGCTGCAGTGTATAAGTAATTGGTCCGTTTTGATGAGGAACATTTTTCATACAATGTGTCACTGAGTAGCAATTGACTTCTCCTCTTAGGATTCTAATAGGGAAATTTCAAGCACAGTGACATTCCGGGGCAAAAATATCGAATAATCTAGAGAAATTAATATTCCACCTCCTGGATCAACTTACAGACACTATTCATTCAGGATGATTAGAAACAATCCCCATATTGAAACAAATTTGTGACTTAGTAGCTTTCTAGGGGTCCACTATGCGACGTATAGAGTGAAGTTTTTCGTTCAAATGGAAATCAGTTAAAGCAAGAACTTAAATTTCATCAAAATGTTCTCAAAATTGTGTACATGATGTCTCGAACATTCTTCAAATATTTTGTTGCAGTATAATTCAAAGGCAACCTAAAATAGTTATTAAACCAACTAGTGTATTAATTGCCTTATTAATACGAGTTGGTCACAAACATTGGTCACAAACATTTTCTGTCCACTATATTTCTCTCGCAATGAAGTTCACGAATTCATTATTCATCAGGAAACTACTAACAATCACCCAATAGCCATAAAAGTCAACTTGTCACTGACATTAGTTACATTTGACATTTGTCGAAATTATGAACATGGCAAATAAATTCATTGTGTTAGAAAACAGGGATTGAAATCGGGTCAGAATCCATATTTTTGATTGAAATGCAGATTCCGTATTTATAATCCCCACCACCGTATAGAAATGGTGTCCCAACATTTGGTTGACTATACAACAATCGATCGTTAATAGTTAATAGACATTTTATCGTTATAGGGGTCATTACCTATCAATTTCATGTACAGGGTGGGCCAAATTGGACACTTTTAAAGGGAAAGTCCGCCTATTCTCGTAATAGATAAAAAAAAGTGGTGTCGGTGGTAAAAACCGCATATCGATAACGAAGAACAAGTTATATTCTTGAACTAGATATAGGAAGGCTGATTTCATTGCCTCGGGAACAATTTTTATCATAAACTCAATGGTTTGCAGTTATTTTCATGAGAACAGACAATTTCTGCCAAGAAAATATTTGTAGCCACTTTTCAAAAATGCCCATTTTCGAAAAACACCTTGTAACTCCGAAACGAAGACTGATTTCGATATGCGGTTTTCACCATTGGGTTTGTCATGTGAAATGATCAACAGGCACTGACATCAGTTTTTTTATCTAGTACGGAAATAGGACTTTTCCTTTAAAAGTGTCCAATTTGGCCCACCCTGTACATCAATCAAACTTGTTGATACGAAGTCGAAGGAGAAATCATCAATTATTACACAATCCGGTGTGGACCTATTCCTATAGATTAACACCTAAATCCAAATTTTGTGGACTCGATCCCAGCCAACCATCGTGTGACATCAACATCTGTGTGATGTAACAACCTTGCATAAATGCAATATCTCGTTAACACATCTTATCGACGTAGATTCGATATCAACGTGGCAAGGTGACATCGCAACCAGGAAACTATGTAATGTGGCAGCGACTTCTTCAAACTACATATCTTCGACGTTAACTAAATAATTCACATTGATATCCTCATGAGATATCTTTGTGACCTGTGAGTGTGACGCAGACAAGCGCAAAAACGAACGCACACGCCAGACGCCATGATGAGCTGTGCATGGCCATGTCAGTCAGTCAGTCAGTCAGTGAGTGAGTCCGACTCCGTACAGACTATTTCCTTCCAAATTCTCTGTTGAAATATCTGAGATGATTTATAGCACATATTATAGCAGCTTCAAATTGGAGGTATACAATCATTTAGGAACGACGGTGAGTTCAATCACAATAGGTAATATTGTAATTATCTCTGAGATAGGAATATTGCAATCTAAAACAAGGTGGATGAAAGATCCCAAGATAATGTATAAGTGTATTTGATATGTATCATTTATGAATAATGTATATTTGTATCGCTATATATATATGTGTCATGTTTTACTTCAAGATTACTTATTAGGGTGATTGTCATGATAAGTTTTGTATCATTACATTTTCTTCGTAAAATTGAATAATAATTATTATTATATATCCCACGAATATCACAGGTACGGCGACCACATCATCAATGTCGCAGTGTGATGTATTTGTAGTATGAAACGACACTTGTATATGACCTGGTAGTGATTTTTCATGTGATGTCGCATTTCATGTCTGAACGATGTCACAGTGATGTTGCTTGAGTCGGTCATTTTCACATCGCCACGTTGTATCGGTAACATGTTTGTGACTTCAAATGCGATATCGCATGTCACAAAGTGATGTGGCGTATACATCACTTATACATCTCATGGTTGGCTGGGATGTTGCAGTGTTTGAAATCAACTCAAAAATTTGTACCGTGTATGTCCGTCCCCTTCCTCCCGTTTCAGAATGAACCTCGTATGGTTAGGATGAGAGCGAAGAAACGTGTCGTCGACCTGCTGATCGTCATTTTTCATTTCATAGTCGACTGCGATTTTCGATAGCGGGAGAGCAACCGCAATGAAGCCGGGTGAGCTGGTTCGTCGCTTCATAATGGCCTTTCCGTATTTTTCTGGTCCGAACGAGAAAGAGGCGAATGTGAATGTGTCATGCTTTGGGTCTCTCTCTCGCGTCTCTGATGTAGTCAGAGTGCTCTGTGATTTGTTAGTTTTCACCAGGTTCATTGCGATTTCAGAACTGTTCAAGAATGGTTCTCGAACTGCGTAGAACTATTGTGCAGTCGTTTCGAATCCTAGGACTGTTTCAGAACGGTTCACAAGTTATGAAAACCCGAACGCGGCAGGAGAGAACCTCTGAGAACATGACGTTTATTCAGAAAAAAACAATAGTTTGGAACCTATATCTTTATTCGAATAATATTCTGAAGCTTCAAACTCTCTTTTGAGTCTATTCACAATATCTCTGGAAGCCCTCTGTGGAGGAATGGTGAGTATATTTCATCATTGCATTCGTGGCTAGATAATCCTCCATTTTTCGGATTATCTAACAGAAGTTCGAGAATTATCAGACTAGACATAATATTTTCAGCAACTTCAGCAAGGAACTCATTCACCACTGCTTCCTGAAGATGAAGAACTACTACTATCAAATGAATGTATTAACTCCATAATATTGAGAAAATAGTGAAAAGAGCAATAAACAATTGGATAAAAAAAATATATCATTATGACGTTACGCTACAACAGACAGAATCGAAAACTAAATATTGACTTTGGGTATTTACACTAGTGTATTTAATCAAGGATATTGACTAAATGAAATGAGCATGCGCCAAAATTAATCCTAGAACGGTTCACGCTCGAGAGCAGGTACTGGTTTCGGATAGTTCTAAAACCCTCCCAGGACAATTCTGGAAAAACCCGAACGCGTGAAGAGTCCTAGAACAGATCCACAAATCCCGAACGCGACCGATTCAACTGCGCAAACTCCTGACAGTTCTAGAACCGAAATAGTTCGAACCCGAATGAACCTACCCTCATCAAGCTGTGTCATACAGGATGTTATCGAAATAAATACAATGCATTTGGGAATTATTTCTACTAAGTTGAGTTGAACTCTGCTTGGACCACTCCACTTCACTTGGCCAAATATAAATTCTCAAGAATATTCTTATATTCTTCAGTTTCATTATTGAACTGAATTATTAGATACTGGTCTGTGTAATTAGATTGGTCAATGCCGAGGTCAATGCATTACGAAATGCATTATTATTTTTATCATTTTGAATATGTTACAGAAATAGCATTTATACGGAAAGTGCAAGCATGTTTTTCAGTGTGGGTCGAAGGGTGAGGGTGAAATCGACAAAACATTTGTCTTCGTGTACACACTCTGCTGTTATTCAAGGAAACCAATTTTGAGCAAGTCTGCATCAAAGCTTTCGCATCTGGTAGTTGGGTGATCTGTGTTGGAAGGCATAAAAAACGAGGAGAACAGCGGAGAACTTACGAAGCAACGTCGCCAGAGTTCATAATAATGATAAGATGGCAAATACAGAAATTATCAAAAGTGGATGTTTTTTGCCAACCTATTTTGATGGAAATTCCCTAGTAAGAGTCGAAAAATTCACGTTCTTTCGAAATTTTTCCTACATGTTTGTGTTTCCGAAATGGAAAAAAAAATTAGTCCGGTCCATATTTATAATATTTTTCTTACAAGCGTGCCGAAAAGTAACTTTTCCGCACGATTTTTGTATTCTTGAAAATAAGGATATTTAGGACTAACTAAAATGAAACATATACCTATTCTGTCTTATGTGTCATTTTGTAGCATCATCATTATAAAATATTGTTTATTAAAAACATTTTTTTTTAAGTTGTATGGACAAAAACACTCGGAGACAAAAAACCGTGAGCTAAAATCTAATATTTTTCACGTGTATAATACACTATTTCTTTCTGTGACAGAAGAAAGGACGAATCAATATTGAGAAGATATTACATTATTTTGAAATCTGAAAATTATCAAATTTTAAGTTTTTAACAGTAAGAACACCTGCGTTGTAGGCATCTTTATCATTCTTTTGAAGTAATCAAATATCTGATGTCACTTCTGTCAGTCTAATTCTGTGATATGATATCAACAAATTGCGAATTTAGTGGTTGTAACGACGTAACCGCGAAGTCGAATGGAAGATGAAAGGACTTGCAGTTCTTTCATTTTTCGGAACTATAGCACAACAAAAGCCATCAACAGTGTATATATATATATGTGATATATATATCCGGGGAAAGAGTAATTTATGAAAAGTGATATTTTATAACCTGCCAACAGAGATGAAATGTCAAACTTTTTTCCCGTCACAGAAAAAAAGCCTTTTTTGGTACATACCTCATACTTAGTAAGAGTGCATGATTTGCATGATGAAGAGAAAAAGGTAATTTTGCACTTATCATGCGATGGTTTTTTTTTCGAAATTTTTTTTTGGTACTTACGTATTTTTGTCTGAAAAACACGAATTTGATATTGAAAATGTGAACAAACCAGTATTTATCGAGATATTTCAAGAAAAAGTTCGAAATTTTGCCTTATTTTCCCCCTTGTGTTGGATGCATTTACAGGTACTTGCTCTTTTTATTTTGTCATTGGACACTTCATATACTCATGATGTACTTCAATGACACATTTTAAGCTAGAAAATTCAACAGGAAATATAATTTTTATGGTGAGTTTTTCCTATTTAGTGAGCAAGCATACCAGATGACCGCCATTTAATCGATGGGTAATCCCTCAGACCAAATAGGAGACGTCAAATGTCAATAGATTGCTTTGGAATGACATCACACACGCCATTATTTCAAATGATATTCTTCCTTCTTTTCACTAAACATGGATAAATCACAAGAAAATCATATTTCTAGTTGACTCATATAATAAAAAATATGTGTCCAACATTGTGTGATATATATAAATTGTCCAATGATGGAAAAAGAAGGGCAAATTGTTCTAAATGCGCCCCAAAGACAGGGGGAAAAGAAGGTGAAATTTGTAACTTTATAGTGAAATATCTCAATAAATAATGGTTTGTTCACATTTTCATTATCAAATTCGTGTTTTTCAGACAAAAATACGTAAGTACCAAAAGAAATTTTCGAAAAAAAAACCCATCGCATGATAAGTGCAAAATTACCGAGAAAAAACTTCGAGAATGAAAATGCTTCTATGCTTCGACAATTGAGACAGTCCGGTCTGTATACAGGACAGAGGTAAGTCTTATCTCTGGTACGGCCTAGCAGCAGGAAGCCAAGTACGAAAATTCCCATATTATGAGTTTATTTGATTTTTCCTCCCTTCCTCCCATTTCTATATTTTTTCAACAAAAATTCCCATAATATGGCCCACAGGTTGGCATCACTGAGTGCTCGAGCTTGGCTTCGCTACCTGCCAGAATCACTAGAATCAGAAACGAGTAGTGAGACTAGTGAGTAGCAAATGGTAGCAAGAAGCACGAGCCAGTCAGGTCAGGTGTTTTCTTGTCAGAGAAGAGGCAAAGACGATGGTATCACGTAATTCACGTATCACAAAGGCAGGTCGGCCTTGGGTAGGAAGGAACCGACCGACCGACCGCTGGTGCTGATGCCGATGACCAAGGAGTTCTCTTCTGTATAAAGGGTGTCCCTAAAATGAAGATTTGTAATGGGTGTCCCAACATGAGCGCAGGATTTGAATTTGACGCCATTTTGTTAATGCGAGTTGTCCGGTGATTGTTTTTCAATTGTCACGTATAAGTGTCATTCATAAAGTCGGCATTTATTAATGACTTATTTTGGAATTTGAGTTGGACGTTGAGTTTTGCTTCAAAAAAGATGAAAAATGGCCTACTCAATCGGGGTTACGTGACTTTCGCTACATGTCAAAAGTGACATTTTTTTCAAATTAATCGCTGAAAGTAGGCTTATTTGTTCGAATATCGAAAAATTTTACTTGAAAAAGTTATTTTTATTCCAATTTTACATATGTGAGATTTCAACTTTCTATTACATTTTTTAGATTTCGATATTTTTTAAAAATTTTCGAAATTTCTGTAATATTAAAAAAAGTGTAAATTCGATAAAACTACTTCATATCAGTAGCTTTATCATGCTACTAACTTTCAATAACTAATTATCACTAATTATCGACAAAAATATGATTTTCTTCAGAAAATGATAATCTCCGCTTCAAAACTTTTTTATGTTCGATGCAAACATAACATCGAAATTCTGTTATGTTTGATTCAAGCATTTAGACACGAAATTCATTTAAATTTATTTTTCCAGTACTGAAAAGATCAGTTTAAATGAATTTCGTTTCTAAAAGCTTGACGATGTATCAACTTTGCATCAAACATAACAGAATTTGGAAGCGGGTATCATCATTTTCTAAGGAAAATCATATTTCTGTCCATAATCAGTGAAAATGAGTAATTGAAAGTAAATGGCATGAAAAAGCTACTGGTATGAAAGTATGAAGTAGTTTCGTGGGATTAAAAATTCTTCAAATATTACAGAAATTTCGAAAAATTAAAAACAAAAACAAAATCAAAAAGTTGCAATAGAAAGATCAAATTCGAGGAGCATGTGTGAAATTGAATTAGAAACAACTTTTTCAAGTAAACTTTTTCGATATTCGAACAAATAAGCCTACTATCAGCGATTAATTTGAAAAAATGTGACGTGATCCCGATTGAGTAGGCCATTTTTCATCTTTTTGGAAGCAAAACTTAACGTCCAACTCGAATTCCAAAATAAGTCATTAATAAAAGTTTTTCCCATATGATGCCGACTTTATGAATGACACTGTAGACTACACGGAAAGAAAGGATTTGCATCAAAAAAGTATTTTTGCTTGGATTATTTTTGTTGAACTGGGCAATTTTTTATTGAATCAACCAGATACATGATTATTTCATGGAAGCAAAGACTCGTTCATCCAACGAACAGCGAGGCTCTGGAATACATTGCCAAGGAAGGTGTTCCCCAAGGCATTTAACCTCCAGAAATTCAAGAAGAACACCAATTCCTACCTTATTTCCCTTGGTTCTATTTATTCT